TTCATAAAAACAAAGTGATCCAGTTAGAATTGTTTTTTTCCGATCCACAGAATTAATTATTTTAGTCTGACTTCATAATTTATCATTTTGTTTATCGTTTCGTATTACRGGAGCACGCTTCTCAGAGCACCTCTGTGCTTCYCAGCAGAGWGGACGCAGTATAAATCTGGGGTTACACTCATTCATTGATCATMATGACAGAATAAAATTGTCAGCTGATGGCACTCTAACCTGGTTGAAGAGGTTTGTGTAATTAAAGGTGAGTGATGTTGGAAGATTTGGTGTTTTTATGACTCTCCTGCCACTAGATGGCCAGACTCACTCACGTCTCGACCCCCCCAGTAAAAATACTCCCAGTTTATCATCTTGTTGTTCTTTTATGGAACCAAACCTAAAATATGTTGCAGAAAAAAATAATAAATTTGGCACACCGTTTCATATTTGTGACTAACTGAGGCCTCTTAATCACCTTTATTTTAGTCCAGAAGAAGAAATAAAAGTTTGTTTCTGGTTTGTTCCGGCGTCAGATCAGTTAGTTGTTAGTGCAGAACTCGGCCTTCATCCCGCGATTCTCTGTACTGAACCGAAGCCCCTCCAGTCGGTCGACGCTGGACTGAACGTAGCTGCTAACGAGCGTTAGAGTCTTCACCGATGAAACAATACCATTTTTCTCCAATGATGTAACTTCCACATTTGGACCGTTGGTCGGGGCCTGAGCGAGTCATGGTATTGTATTCCAGCAAGGCCCAGGATGTCCTGTTTGATGGGGGTGGGGGGATAGCAGGGGTCTGGACAGAACAGGAGGAGGTGTCACAGATCAAGAGATGCTAGTAGCTGCTCTGGAGGTATCAGGTCGCTTCCCGTGGATCATATCTGGAAAATTCTGATGTTTTTTTCTGAAATGAGGAACCTAAGTGGTTTCATGTTGTGGAGGCAGGAAACTAGATTTCACCAGTCGTCACAAGAAGAGCTGCTGGACTAAAGTTTTGCAGGAGGTTTGGTTTGAGGTAGGTGCTTTGTAGTTTTGATCCAAAAGAAACGGCATCAGTTAAATCTGCAGTTGAACCCTGGAGAACAAAGTTTGGGATGTTAAAATTTTTTGCGAAAACTCTTTTTTACAAGAGTCGAAAGTTATATTTGCTGTGGTTGTTTCAGAGTAGCATTATGTTCCCTATATTCCTCTGATTATCTCTACTTCAAACCCAGGACACTGAATTACACAACCAACAGACGTTATTTGTAACAATGGTTCTGACTCCAGGTAGATTTCTTTGGATCGTTACAAAATTCCTCGGTTCATAGTTTTTCAGTCTCCCTGTCTTCGTAAAGCATTCATAAATGTGTGTAAACCTAAAGAGGTACAAATCTTTGTGTTTATTTTGAAATACAAACCATTGGTGATGACAGAACCAATGGAACGTGTTCTTTCTACTAGAGTGCCTTCTTAGTGAGAAACTCTCGAGGTCTTCATTGTTCTGAAGGAAAGACAGAGGAAGTGCTCGGCCACGTCACGGATTTATAGCTGCGCCTTCGGCCTGGACGTCTCTGGGTTGTTTTCTATCTGCTAACTCAAGACAGGAAGTTTACAGTGAAGGCTGATTGCAGCCGTATTTACATCGACTTGTTTTTGTTTTTGTTTTTTTAGTTGTCACCGTGTTCAGGCTTGAAACAGGAAGCTATTGCCTGACTCGATTACAGCAAAATATACAGAGTCTCTGCTTATCTGTGCAGATTTACCAGGGTTGGTTTTGGATGCCTCTGAGGGACATTTTGACTTTAAAACCTCGGCACACAAACAGAGTGTGAGCTCTTTGTGTTTCTGAGGGAGCGCAGCGTGACTCACACCGACTCCTCATCTTAGATCATTAACAGGATGATGAGTCATGTGGCAAAACTTGAATGCCTCAAACAAAGGAGAGATCCGAGGTTTGAGCTGCTGTCAGAACTTAATCCTCCTTTGCTTCCATCTGACAGGCGTGAACTTCAACGAGGTGAACGAGGAGAACAAGCAGAAGCTCCTGGCTGAGATCTACACGGCTATCGACAAATTGGCYTTCACGTTTGGCAATGTGTAAGTGTGACGTCATCGTCGGTGCACCTTTACTGATGAAAGGATGAGACCTCAGTTTGGAGTTTAATGTAGACTGGACTGATGAGCTCATGGCTAGTCTGAGCGGAGAAACCAAGCCGCCATCTTGAATCAACCAAATCTTTATAATTTCACTGGATTCATGTGAACCACCTTTTATGTTACAATAAATTATTTATATGTAGTTAAGTTTGTAAAGTGCTGTTAGCAGCTAGCTGTAGCACTTCCTGCAGGAAAGTCACAGTGATTATTTTGTTTCTCCTCAGAGTTTCTGACTTCCTTATGGGAGATGTAGAGAATGGARCAGTGTTGGGGTTGCCCCTAACGAAAAGAAGCAAGGTAAGAAAATAACTAAAAATCTGAATATTTATGTCCGTAGAAAGTATTGTTTACTCYACAATACAAGAAATCGTGTTTAATCTTTATGTTATAGAAGATTATTTTAATTCTTGGATTGTAAAAGGCCTTAGGACATTTTAAATAAATGAATTTCAAAGGTAATTTTGCAGCTTTTCAACAAGTGCAAATTCCAAATTTCTAACATTTTTTTTTCAAATTTTTTCAACTTTGCACCTTATTACCACCTGAATCCATACTCTAAAAGAGCTATTGGTCTAATAAATACAATATTAAATATAATATGGGATGTGAAAATGAAGAGGAGCTGGCTACGGATYTGTGGAGAAACTATACTGACAAATATTCCACGTCAGTACATCAAAGACATGGAGTGATTCGATTTAAAGTTGTTCATAGATCTCACAGGTCTAAATAAAAACTGGTGAAATTTCAAACCAGACATAGGCCACGTTTCCATCCAACTGTAATGTCACTTTTAAAAATGTCACAAAAAAAGAAAGGGGGGAAATAAAAAAACAAAACAAAAAGAAATGTGAATCCAGCGAATCAACAAAAAAACTTTGGACTAACCAGCCGTGACAGATTACCCAGCAGAGGGCAAAGCTCAGTGGGTGAAGCAGGTCTCTGCAGGTTGACGCACGGCTCTGAACTGGGCTCGGAGTGATAAATAGCTGCTGTGTATTGTTGTTTTCCTGCTGCAGGTTTTAACTGATCTGAGGAGGAAGTCCAGGTTCTGATAAGGACAGTTTAAATCACGTTATCAAAGAATTCAGTGCTTCATACAGGAAGCTGACCCCTCCTCCCTCCTCTGTTGATTTTATTTATATTTTTATTTAAATATTTGTCTTCTTTTCAGTCTTTTGAGAACCTCTCTGTGGAATCTGGAGGATCCGGTCCTGAGAAAGATGATCCCCCAGGTAAGACCGCCTGAACACAGGTACTGTACTGATGAAAATTGAAAACTAATCTTCACAGGTTAGACGTGAAGGAAAAAA